GCAGAGGTGGGGCTTCCCTGGGGGAGAGAGGAGGGCTGATTTTGGCACGTTCCTCAGAGGGACTTACTTAAAATTGGCTCATGTAATGTTTGGAATTACTGGAGGAACTGGACTCCATTCCAGCTCTCTCATTACTTGTCAGGCTTCCAGCTCCAGGCTTCCAATGCTGTCCTTCCTTCCTGTCTAGATCTGTCTGCCGAATTGGTTGATGTCAGAGTAACAAGATGGGAACGTCATTATCCAGGCCTGGTTTTTCTGGTTTTGTCTAACCTCCATCACTTCTCCTGTTTCCAATTAAATGGAAGTTTGAATCAGTTTTTCTTTTTTAATAATTGTTGCTACACTGGCAACACAAAAAGGAGGAATGGCAGTGCCCTAGGGGGTTGAATTGTCTTCCAAAAGCCCTACATGTGGCCTTGCAAAGTTTCTGCTGTCAGATGGCCGGTTTATTTACGTAAGATGTGCACATTGACATCTTTGCCTGAAAACAGGAGAAAACAAGAAGAGCAGACAGTGTCCTGACTTTCCATCTCCGATACATCCCTCAAGTGAAAGCTGTTTCTGAAGAACTTCCTCAGTGTCACGCTCACAACCATTTCTGCATTGCTTTTCCTGTGTTTTTCTGTTGTTCTCACATGCACAAACCACTAACCCCATCCCCTTGCTTTTGCAAACAGAGTGTTCCTCAGACACCGTCACCTCGCCTGTGACCTGGATTTGCTTTGGTGCTTTGTCACTGGAAGCACCTTCTGCATTTTCCAGCCGCCTCCCTCCTTCCCCTTTGCTGAATTGCTTCTTCCCCTCACCCCACCGGCTTTAGCTGAACCCACCACTGTCCATAGATCAAACACTTATTGAACAGCAGCTATTAACACTAGCTGGCTTAAGAATTTGTTTATACAGCATGAGTGAATGTAGCCCTTACCTACTTCAGGTTTTCACTATGTGCTGCTAAAATTAAGAAGGTAAAAGATGATTGTTTGACTTGCTGGGAAGTGTACACTTGTTAGGGTACACCCTTTCAAAAGGGCAGGTAACTGCTTTCAAGCTGTGTCTGCAGTGGAAGGCTCTCCAGAGACTAGAGGATGGAGCAGGGAAGGTCCTGAGCCCTGTGCTCTTCCTGCCGCACACCTGGCCCTCCTTGCACGTTGTCACAGCCACCCTGAGCACCCTGAGTGATTGCAGCAGGGCTATCTAGAGGTTACGTCACGTGCATCACCAGCAGGAGATTCTGCAGTTGAGACTAAGAGTTTGCACCTCATCGTGCCCTGCAAGCCATGGGGATCAGCACTGGACTTTGCAGGTGCAGTTTTCTCTGCTGTAAACCTGACAGTAAATACTGCACATATGATTAAATACCTATTTTTATCTTCCATGCCTGCACCTGCTGCATTCACCTGTATTTCAGAGGCAATTCTTCTAGATGTGATTAACAGATCTGAGGCAGGGCCGAAGATGACAATGTCGGCAGGGATGCAAGGATAGAAGACCCAACAAGTCTTTTCTTCCTTCCCCTTGGCTCAGCAGCCACAGTTTGGGGAGCTAGGGAGCCACAGTTTTGGGAGCCACAAATAGGAGCCAGGACCCCTCCGGACAGAGATGTGAGACCATAAGGTATCAAGGACTGCAGCCTGTCTCCAGGCTGGGAAGTGAGGAAGGAGACTGTTTGCATTCCTTGTATTATCTCCTTTTTTTATTCTTAAAATTACAATGTCACCTCTATTTCCTTACAGCTCCAAGGTGGGGATGAGGCCAGAGGACGAAGCAATGAAGATTGCTGTAACACCTTGGGTGCTGGCCCTAGGAAACTTTATTATTTACCATTGCCTGACTGCAATATGAAAAATAGCTGGAACAAGCACAGATCTCAGTGACATGCAGTGAATTTTCTGTACAACACTGTTCCACAGGAACCCCACAGGAAAACTAGAAGAATTCAGCAAACACAGGCCAGCTGCACTGTACATGGACAGAAAGTGCAGCATCGTCTTTCCATTATTATACTTTTTTTTATAACAGGACAGAATCCATCTGAACATTCTTTTCTTGTAAATTTTCTGGAAAAAACTTTAAAAAATACATAAAGACATATTTCCATTAGCAGCACCATGATTCTTTAGCAGTGTGCTAAGAAAATATACAAAATAATGGGTAATCGCTAATGCTGTGGGAGTCAGAATTGCCCCATTTTGGCCTGGTCACTCAGAGCTCCAGAGGAATTTGAGTGCTGTGGTAGTCACCACCATGATACCTACTTTTTCCAGGCCTATCCCTTTCTCCCCATCCTGCAAGCTGCAGGAACCGAATAAGCACATTAATTTGCTCACTGGATGCTGCACGGGAGCTACCTAAACTGCCTAGGTGTGTTACAGCCCACTGCTTTCCTAGGGCTCAGCCATCTCATTCAAGTCTAACGGGACACTCTGGATTCACAGCCCCGAATACTTAATTACAGCTTTTCCACCTTGTGCTCATTAACATGAGAAATTAAGAGCCCTGTCTGGGGCCTGCTCTCCACCCACGCACCCACCGTTATCCCCGCGTAACCCACGGCGCCGGGTGAGCGCTCCCGCTTGACGCCGGCTCGCATTCCTGCCCGGGGAGGAGGCAGCTCCGCTCCGCGGGTGAGGCCGGCGATGAAGGATGGGGCCCCTCTCGCCGGCTCCGGYGGGGAAGGGCGACGCGCTCTGTGTGGTCCCACCGGAGCGGGTGGGTGACAGGGTTTGAGGTGCGGGACCAAGATGATGGAGGCTGGCGAACAGTGATGGGAGCTGCTGCTCTTACTGCCTGCCTCCATCGCTACCTTCGTCCCCCRTCCCCGTGGGATGTTCCAGCACCTTCCATCCCACTTTGATGCAGCTACGATAYAGGAGCTACTGGCACCACCACTTTGCTGCCATCCACCTATTTTGAAAAGCAGCATCCCTTCTGCCTCCTCACACGGGGAAAGCTAACTTGTATTCCAGCTGCACCTTCTCTCTCGTTGCCTCCTTCCCCGTCCAGGCTCCATCTCGGAGGTCCTGCCTGGTGGCTGGGACCCTCTGTGCTGCAGCAGCACCACGGAGCCCCGGCCAGGGAAACCTTCCTCCTGCTCTTCCCAAGGGCAAGTAGGGGCCAGGAGCCCCTTGGGGGTCACGTTGAGCAGGCGGGAGGGGAGGCAGCGCCTGGGCCACCTCCTCTGGGCTGTGCACACACAAGCATACTCACACTTGCACACACCCTCCTGCACACCCTCACACACGCACTCACACTCGTGCACACACTCACACTCGCACACCCACTCACACACCCTCACACTCTCATTTGCACATACTCGCTCACACTTGCACACCCTCCCGCACACCCTTACATGTGAACTCTCACACTCACACACACACACGCTCTCACACTTTCACACTCGCACACCATCCTGCACACCCTCACATACACACACTCACTCTCACACCCTCACTCGCACACACTCCCGCACACTCTCACTCACACCCTCGCACACGCACACTCACACTCTCACTCACACACACTCCCGCACACTCTCACTCACACACCATCCTGCACACCCTCACTCACACTCGCACACTGCCCTGCACACACTCACACTCTCACTCACACACTGTCCCGCACACTCGCACACCATCCTGCACACCCTCACATACACACCCTCACTCTCACACCCTCACTCGCACACACTCCCACACACTCTCACACCCTCACACACGCACACTCACACTCTCACACTCTCACTCACACTCGCACACC